CTGCCCTCACTCTCACAGTCCTCAGTTGTCTCTCAGATTGCCTTCCTCTCTCTCTACCTCTTCCCCCCCCCCCCTCTCTCTCTCATACTAAAACTATGGCTATGGCGCCCAGCGCCGTTGACCACACTGCCCTACGCTCTCTCTCACTTCATCAGTCGTAACTCCACCACACAAGACCACAGCAGTGCTTCTGCATTGAGTGCGAAGCATACACTCTTCACGTCCAAGCGCTACTGGGCATCCATACTCGCTGATCCATCTTCCACACTTCTGCCATTTTTGGGTTGGTACTGTTCCCTTTGTTTGCTGCTTCCAGAAGTTTATGGCTGCTTCACTGGACTGTCAGACACTTAGCCTAACGACTTCTGCTATCTTTGCTGAAGCTTGTTGTGCCTCCATGAAAATCAACTTTTCAACCCGTGCTGTCGACTACCAGGGACTTCCTACCACAACCTACTTAACTTACCTACCTAGGCATCTGTAATCATTTACAAGCGAAAACTAGACGGACCATGTTCCTGTGCCATCATAGAAACATAATTTAATCAATCAAAACAAGGCAAAGCTTGTAGATAGGTTTTATATTCAATTAATTTTTCTGTACCTCTATGAAGTAAACCGATATGTGGTTCTTCTCCATTCATTTCCAAAAGTAATCTTAAAACACCATGATCAGCCGGGTGTTGAGGTCCAAAATTGAAAGTCAAATTTTTTATTTGTTTGTTTTAGCCATAAGCCTCCTGAAGTTTGACAAAAAGAATACAGGATCCCAAGTTCGCAATTGGTTGAAATTCGGGATCGCCAAACAGGCCGAAAGTGCAAACACTGGGGCTCGCCAATGGAACATGGACTGGGACTCAGAATTGGGACTCAAGGCTGGGACTTGGGACTGGGACTTGGAACTGAACCGAGAGTACTAAGTTCTGTGAATACTTTCACTGTATAATTATGTCAAATTTATTCAATTATCGAGCAAATAAAAAATTGTGATATATCCGTGATGCTGGACTCAGTGAACATATTTCTTGGTCTTGATAAAATCATAAAAGTTGATAAAACACAACTCCCATTTCCACAGCATCAATGTCCCTACGAAGAAATCAGACCAAGTCACACAGGCTCTGGTTCTGAAACGGCTGATGTTGTGTCCTTACACAGTAGACTTCTTCCATAGCTGATATAGTGTTTATTCAACTTTATTGACTGTGTCCTTAGACCATAAGCCTCGTCAAATGTTTATCACCATGGTATTTTGTTGTTATTCCCTTGTATTTTGTTTATGCGAGGAACGAGCCCTCACGGGGCCCCTATCAGACATACACATCTTCTGGGCAGAGGCCCCCAGCAAGCCGAGTTCCCGCCCTAAGTGAAGGCGGGCCTGAATATTCATCAGAGGCCAAAATTCAACATTTTCATACGTGGGTACTCAGGCTGTTGCAGCCCGCCATGCGTGAGCCTCACTAAGCTGCGTCATACAGTTGGCCCAGGCCTTGGCAGTTGCGCCTGGGCACATACACACAATGCAGGGCCGATACATCACGAAGTGGCCAAAGGCCTACGCAAAGGCAGCACTGTCGACGTACCTACCCCGCGTCCTGTGCAAATGCAGCAAACGGCCCAAGTCTGGAGACTCAGGCCGTGCCCAACTGTAAAGGGCCTTGGGCCCGGGCGTAGCCACTGGGGCCCAACCGGAAGCTACTGGAAGCTTCCAGCCAGGCCCCACACAGCCACACAGAGGCTGCCACTTCCATATAGGAAGGAGGGCAGCCAGGGCCGGGGTATTCTGGCCCACGCAGGCAATGCAGTCAAGCTGCTGCGCTGCTGCGTTAGAGGCTGCGTGCTGCGCTGAGGCCAGAGCGCGTGCGGGCGCGTGTGTGGTGAAGAGGGGCGCTGCAGCGGAACGCTAGCAGCCACAGCCGGGCTGCAGGGCGCTAGGGGGTAAGAGGGCGATTGGTGGTCTTCAGGAAGGAGGCGGTGTGGGTGGACAGGGTCTGATGAGGGGAGACGAGATACGTACCTGGTACATGAAGAGAGGTCCGCTATGGTGTTAACATCATGTACATTGGTCTTCGAGAGTCGAAGCGAGCCTGTTGCGAGAATGCTGATGTAGGTAGGACACTCGAGAAGTGTAGGCTGGGCGCTGGGCAGGAGTGCCTTTGGATACTGTGTAGGTGTGACCTGAGGGCTTGAACATTGGCTCATTACTTCATTGTATTGCTCTTATTTGGATGGGATCTCAGTGCATTTGTGCTCTCTGCTTGTACACTACTACTTGGTCATCTGTGTGATTTCACAACTTGGTTTTCTGTATATCGTTCCCACTCGTATTCCTTGCGTTTAGTTCTTAAAGACTTTGGATGATTCCTGGGCGTGGGTGAGACATTTTTGTCCACAAAAGTGGCACATAGTGAGACATTTTTGTCCACGAAGTGGCACATACTTAAAACCACCAATCCATCAACACCTATTTTGCAAAACCAAAAGTTACCTTCTCTTGAGCCCAAAACCCACAGTGCCACCATGAGGAAAAGTACTTGTACTACCCTTCCCCGCGCAACCTCTACTGGGCCAAGGCACTAGGCACTGTAGATTTTGGCCCGGTACTTGTAGACAAGAAAAACTGAACAATGCAGGGACCATTGGAGTGGTTGTTTAAACACATCCACAAGTAATATCAAGATCCATGAAAAAGAATCAGCTTGTCCAACACCCGAGGTTGTGTTCTCAATTCTTCGTCAACGTGACTCAACAGACATAAGCAGGGACATATTTGGCATTATAGCGCAACAACTGACATGCAAATTCTTTGTCAAACTCGGATCTTAGAAAAGGAAAATGAAACCACGGACAAACTAAATGAATGGAGAAGATGGGAACTCAGAGGCCTACAGATACGCGCTCGTATGAATGACTACATCCTGAATGAATGGAGAAGATGGGAACTCAGAGGCCTACATATACGCGCCCGTATGAATGACTACATCCTGAATGAATCCAGATCGACTTGGACAAACCAATCACCATAGGGGAACTTCACGAAGCCTTATCCCAGATGGGAAATGACTAAGCACCAGGAATTGATGGCCTGTCCAAAGAATTCTTGATCCAGTTCTGGCCAACACTGGGCAACGACCTCTTGAACTTCATCAACGACAGCAGGGAAAAGAGAGGCCTGGGTCAATTTCTAAGCACCAGCGTAGTGTCACTAATATACAAAAAGGGAGACAAGGAGGACCTCAAGAACTACAGACCAATCTCACTTCTCACAACGCCGTACAAAATCCTAGCAAAGGCATTAGCCAACAGAATCATAAAACTAACTGATAGTTGCTTTCACATCGACCAAGCAGGATTCATCCCGGGTCGACACATTCTGGATATGTGATGGCTCTAAATGAGGCGGCTAAGAAGATCACAGAAAAACGAATGCAAGCGGCGATCTTATTCTTCGACTTTGAGAAGGCTTACGATCAAGTCAATTGGGACTTTCCCCACAACTGCATGGAGAAGATGGGAGTGGCCCAAACTTTCGAGAGTGGGTGAGAGTACTCTACAGGGGTGCCACGGGCAGGGTGCAAATAAACAGAATAGTGTCAGAAACCTACCCGATATCGAGATCGGTCCGACAAGGCGACCCCCTCGCACCCCCAATATTCTTGTTCATAATGGAAGCCATCGCACCGTTCCTGCGCAAGGACCCATCCATAGACCGCCTGACCGAACAAAACTACACCCCCCTCCACGACTTTGCTCTCCCCACCGCACAGATGTTCACAGACAATCTCACGGTCCTCATCCGCGCCAACAACTCCTCTTTCCAGGCCTTGACCCCCGCCATGGAAGCCTTCAGACTCGCCTCGGAAATGAAGGTCAAGTGGCTGAAAACAGAAGGGTGGTGGCTCGCAGAAGGCACCCCCCCCCCAACCCCCAGACCCATCCACCCAAATGTCCTGGACTACGGGCGATCAAGCACTTCGATATCTTGGTAGGGATGACATCTGGCAAGGGATGGGGGAGTCTCTACTCGCCAGAGCAATAGCCCGTTTAGCCACCTGCAACAAAGCCCAGGCCTCCCTACTAGGGAGAGCCCTGATCATCAACACGACAGTATTCTCCACCTTGTGGTACATGGCCTCCATATGGTGCCCCCCCGACGACGACCTGAAGAAGTTGAAGGCTAGAGCCAGGTGTTATCTGTGGACTGGCAACCCCAACAGAACCACCTGTATAAACAAGGTGGCCTGGCAAACGGTCATCAGGAAACCACAGGAAGGAGGGCTAGGTATAATCGACCCTAAACAAAAAGCAATCGCCCTCCAAATGAAATGGATAATCAAAATCCTAACCAAACAAGCCCTCCCGTGGACCACGATGGCGAGAGACAGCATAAGGAATATGGCACCAATAGCGACCCCACCAAACATGAGTGGCCTGTTCTGGATCATGGCAAAGGAGTGGACAATCAAATCGGGGAGACCAGCAAGGAAAACTAACCCAGCGACTCCAACAAAACCCCCCACCACACCCACCCCCTACTGGTCTTCGATCCTAAAGACCTGGCATCGACTGATGCCAGACAAGAAAGGGTTCCCGAGCAACAAAGAGGAAGTCCTACAACAACCCCTGTTCTGCAATCCTTGGATCAAAGACACAGAGGGCAGACCGTGGACTCTCCGGGCTAAAGACCGCAGATGGTTGTCATGGGTGGAGAGAGGAGTATGGCAGGTGTAACATCTGTGGTCCGAAGACCGACAAGAATGGCTCACCTCACAGGACCTTCGCACTCCCTTAAAAGGGTGCCACCTGCTGACCACCAACCTGTCAGAAATCCTCCAAAGCATTCCTCCCCCATGGAAGACCCTCCTAAAAGAGACACATACGTGGAAACCAGGAGACTGGGGACTACTCACGACACAGACCCCACCAACGAAAGCCTACCGCTTTGTGTCAAAACCGGACTCAACTACCAGGCCAAGTTCATATCCTACCCCATCATCAAACACAACCTACACGAACTACAGATCCTAAACAAAACACCGCAGAACGAACAGATAGAAACCTACCTTCTCAGGAAGGTTAGAGTCTCTCACAAGATATCCTGGTCTATATTCCAGACGGATCTTAGCATCAGCGAGCTGGAATTTGACCCAAAGGAATGGATCTGGGATCTGGACACCGCAGGTAAATCGAGAACGATAACAGAGTACGACGTAAAGTTCGGGAATAACCTCGGACTGCAAACCAGGGACCCGAACCCAAGGCTGACAGAGAAATGGAGAACCATACTGAACCTAGATACCACGACCCCCATCACCATCACATGGCCCAAATACCTCCTCATCAGACCAATTAGAATCCGAAGCATGCAATGGCTAATTGCACATGCAGCCCTGCAAGTCAACCAATGGTTACACGAGAGAAGGAAACACTCTGATCCGGATAGCTCGGCATGTTGCTCAATGTGCAGCAACGACTCACCCGAAGACATCCCCCACTGCCTCCTATTCTGCCCTGAAGCAACCTGGATATGGAAGAAGATCGCGAGCTATGGTCGATCCTGTTCGCTGCACCCCCCCCTAACATCCCCCCTATCTCTATCCTACTTTTAACTAACATCCCCAGCAACATCACAGGCAGCAGGGAAGCATGGTTCACCCTACTCAGGAAGCTGGCATTGTGGGGGATATGGAAACACAGATGCACTCAGACAATCGAGGGAACAGAGGTGGCAAGAGAAGAAATGTGGTCACTACTGCTGAGCCTGGCAGAGACGGAAATCAGGAGCAGATGGCGGTGAATAGAAAACCCTGCGAGACACAGACCAGAAGGACAAGCAATCAAGAAACGGACATTCATAAGAAACTGGCTGCTAAAGGGCAAGGTGGCAACGATAGTAGACAACAGACTGAGGTGGAAGGAATGGCACCAGGCTTCATCATGAAGACCACGAGGGTACCTGTCGGGCGACCTGGCAGAAGGTTCTGAATGGGGATCAACAAAAAGAGGACCGGACACACAGAGAAGGACAAGGACAAGCAACAGAACACAGAGTGGACCCCCCATTGTTCTCGTATTACAGGAACTCATTCGACAGGCTCTAAATAGAAGCCTGCGAGGAACAAAGGGCAGGGCGAGCTGACAGTCAATCCTCCTTAGAAGGAGCAATCAATGCTGATCAGGGGTCCTTCGGCCAGACGGAAGGAAGCGTTGAGTGGGTAATATGATGTAATCCGTTCTTTTTTGACTTGCCGAGGGAATAGGAACCGGACTGACGCTCCCCAGAATGGAAATGGAGCCAGAACCACAAGGACCTGTTAAAAAAAAAAAAAAAAAAAAAAAAAAAAAAAAAGAAAAAAAAAAGAAAAAAAAAAAGAAAAGAAAAGAAAAGGGGAGCCTGCGCAATCATCACAAAGCTCGCAAATAAAAAGAGATTCTCACGCAGAATAACAAGGCCGGCAAATAACACGTTCACACAATCTAAGTGAATGTTAAGTAAGAAGACAGTGTCTTTAGGAGCCAACATCAAAAGATTTGCATACGCTCACGGCCTGCTCACAGATGCTAAAACTCATATTTTCTGCATGCAATATCTGATAAGACTGGCATTCCTAGTCAGGAAGGTGACCAACCATCCCTGCGGTGGCCAGAGTCTCAGTGTGCAACAAGCCCCCACCACCTGCAGCAGAGATCATCAGTTTACAACACCCTTCTCCGAGTTTCAAGGATAGTCAGGGACAGGGAGAAGGCAGCAAGCATTCCTGCAGTATGACGCAAGGTCGCTCACAGCCTGGATATCATCAATACTGGGCATGACAGACAATACGAAGGACGAAGGGTGTTGTAGACTGGAAGATTTTGCTCAGAAAAAGCTTTTTGACTGGAAGATTTTGCTCACAAAGGCAGCCTTAACTACGGAGGGAGAATAGCTTGATTCCACTCCATATGAACAACAAAGACGTGACTCACGTAATGGACGAGCTCTACCATTGCCCTGCAGCTCCCCACACATGATTACCGTGCAATAGGCAAGGCATCGTGTTGTGAGGTTCTGCACAAAGTAAGATTGTGAACTACCAGCTGAGATGTTAGTGTCACATGGGACTAATGACTCACCTGTGGAATCTTACAGCCATGCTGATGATGGCAGCGCGCTTACACGACTAAGCTCTCCCCAAAGATAGCACAAACTTCCACAAAGTGAATTGCATTGGGCATGCCTGTTGCCTGCCACCCTGCCCAAGTGTGAGAGTTGCCCCTACATCCAAGAGCCACAATGAACATGCAATCGTTGGCAACCTCCCAAAGGTGAAGAGGCGCTGTGCTGTCTAACAGTTGGATCTTCCAAGATAGCCTTTTGTCTTCCACTGCTGATAATAATTCTCTTCAAATGGCACGACATGGATAACCTTTTGTCTAAAACACTAAACACGATTGAGCAAGCATGCAGAAACTCAACTAACAGGGTGCCAGCTCGAGGAGACACCCAAAATTCATGGCACAGGACAATAACCCTTGGAAAAGATGCCTGCTAAGGTCACTGCTTTCGGTTCTCTCTTGGTGTATTATTGGTGCATTTCTGTTTTCTGGAAAGCTCGTGAATATCTGGCTTCAATGTGGTGTGCAATTTGGATTTCTGTCATTACGCTATTGCTCATTTTCTTCGCATGATGCTCATTCGTATCCACTTACTAGCAGTACACTAGAGGAGGGAAGAAGGAAATAGGAGGTGGAGTTCTCACCGGGTTCTAAATACTCACCACTGGAGCAGACTACTCTAGAATGGCACATGATGCCAGTCAGTGTTTGGGTTGCATAAGATTTTGAATTGAGCAACAGCCGTTGCCTATCATTATTGGCCACCCCTACAGACCGGACAGAACCAGTTCAAGGTCTGGACTGTCGAAGCACACCATCCAATTGGTGCACTGAATAGCACGGCATAAACAGATGTCACAGGCTATGTGGCTCCTACGTTCTAGGAACACAGAGACATGCCGATTGCAATTGTAGAGCCATTGCCGTTCCGACCCCTGCCTAGAAATTGGACATGACATATCGGGGTGCCGTACATGAATGCAGTATCAACTGTCATCATATGTATGAAAACAAAAACCCCGCATGGGCCATCCCTTCATAATTGGCACAAGGCATGTAAGCCACATGCTACCCGAATCTCAGCTGGGTCATCACAGAGCGGCATTGAGCAGGTTTCATGGGTTTCCCCAGTATTTATTCCCTCTCTATGCGCAGAAAAAAAAGTCTGGGTGTTTAGCTGATGCAGGATTTGGTCTGAAGCAGCTCGGCCCAGTGGTGATAACCTTTCAGTACAGCGCTCTGTAGGTGGTTCATATGGTAGACTATTGTCGTCCTCAGGCTGCTGCACCTGTCGTTCGTCTGGCAAGGACGAAGGAGATCCGACTGTGATTGCCCAGCATTGCATGCGGGACATGCTAAGAGAGGGTGTGGTCGATGATGGCATCGGGGATAGTCCACGCAGTAGAGACACATGCTTTCTATGACAGCTTCCTGGAAACATTCACGACACTTAGCATGTTGCTGACATGTCAGCAGGAAAGCAGGCTGACGTTCGCAGCTATTTAGGCATGGCATGTCAAGGCCACGACTGCATACTGAGCAAGTAATTACAGAGTGCGAGGGAGAAGGACAGGACAAAGAGTGGTAGGCTGGCAGTGACCATCCATTCATAGCGTTCGGCGCATAGACTATGCTGTGTGCATGGTAACTGTACTGTAGCTATGTGATTACAGAATGGGATGGCACAGCTACCATCCTCTGGAGAGGCTCCTTCACTGTCCGTGGTAGAATCTGTCATCGACACAGGTAGGGGACGCTGCCTGGCCATGCAAAGGGGAAGGAGGAGGTTCAGCCGGATTGCTCTTCAGAGGCTGTAGAGCTTGCAAGTGCGCAACGACATAGTGTTCCTGATGGACAAACCAGACCGAGTGATATTCTACCGCTTGGTGATAGAGAGAGTTAATATTCCCCGCTGCATGCACCCGACCGCCATTGTCCCATAGGGTCCATCAGTCATCCGCAAAGGTAACAGCACTGAAATTTGGATCCATGCCTGGCATGTGATTCTGTGGAGCAGGAAGGAGCTGTAGTCACCTACCCATAAATGCCATACACAAGACTTCTATGTTCACGAAACGTGCAGTGCTGTCGTCCTCTGGGCAGACAGCACGGTGCACTTCTTCTATCCTGCAGACAACGTCTGCAAAATCAGAAACAGTATAAGGGTTGCAATTGTAAGCGAGGAGACATACATTAATGACATAGTGCGCTCAGTGGCCTCGCTTGTGTGTGTGTGTTGTAAATTGTCACCACAACAGCCCTTGTGTGTGTGTGTGTGTTGTAGATCCAAAATCAAAGCAGATTTACCTCTACTTCAGACAATGAAGCACACTAAAGGTGAGCTAATCCAAAAACGAAACACTTATAGCAAGCAACATGAAGCCCAACAGATCCATTACATCACTTCTTGAAGCAAGCAATATGTGAGCACGACAGATCCTCTTATATTCCTTACTTGACTATCATCACTTTGGCTTTCTTTGGGGCACCCCTTTTATTTGTTCTTGCAGCTCCCCTTTTACTGTGCCCCTCACATACAAGGCTCGCCAAATTGATTGTAGTTGAGCACAAGCTGCCCACATCCCCGTGCGTGTGTATGCCGTAGATTTTCACCACAACTACCCCTGTTCCACCCAGATGCCCGGATCTGAGCCAATCCAACAATGAATCAGTTTTACCTCTATAGCAAGCAACATGGATGTGATGACCTGACCAAACACGAAATGAGAGACACAGCTGATTTCTGGGTTTTGCCCATGGACTGAATGCCTTGCTGAGTTTCCCGCTTGCTACTAAGTTCTCTAAGTCTGTGTGTGTGCACACTTGCTGGTCTGCATGTCTGTCTGAGTGCTTGATGGCTTGAGTGTGTGTGACCCCAAGGGCACGTGTTCGTTCGTTGGGCCCTCAGGGCCGGTACTTACCTGTGGTCGTGACATTGAGGATTGCAGCAGGGAAAACACTCAAGTGCCGGGGGAAGAGGCCCGCAACACTTGAAGCAGCGGGGAAACACTCAAGTGGCAGGTAGGCCGGTACCCTGAAGAGGTAGATGTGCCGGGTACTCGAGGCCGAGCAGAAGAAGACAAAAGTGGCATTTTTAGAGGCCCAGTAGTTGTAGGCTAGGTCTAGGCGGGTACCAGTCCAACCAGTCTGAGTCTAGGGCCTGTACCGGCAATATCAGAGTCTGCAATGATGTTTCCCTCCGGAAGAGAGGAGGTACCGGTTGCTTGGAAGGCCGAGCGGCCTGGAAGTCACCGCCCAAGAGGCAAGCAGGCCGCTATATGTCCAGGCCGGGCAAAGAGCTCAGCCTCATTGTTGGTGTGCAAGTTTGGCGACACACTGGTTGGAGCGCTGGCTGGAGCAGCGCTAGCACTCAGCAGAGCTGCCGGGGAAGGAGCAAGGACACGGAGGAGGAAGAAGGCCAGGGCTAGGGAGAAGCGCCAGAGGTACTTACCTGGCTATGGTGGCAGCCATCTTCATCACCTTGGTGGGCGCTGTAGCAGGAAGGCCCCAGCTGGGGTTGAGCTACACCAAAAAGCTTTGAGGCAGAGTCAGGCATGGCGGCCTGAGCTAGAGCAGCCATAGCTGCTTTGGGTTGTCCTTTGGACATCTGGGCAAGGTCTAGTAGTCCGCCATAGCCTCGGCCTATGAGAGTGAAGAGTGAGAGAAACGGCCATGGCTATGTTGGACCTCAAGTGATACCTGCAGTAGAAGAGGGATTCGGACTTTGGTTCTGGTTCAGCCATTCAACATTGTACTATTATTTCTTGTGTGAATAAGAGAGGAGGAGATAAGGAGGAAGAGAGAGTTTGCGAAGAAGAAGAGCTTTATCATTTGTCTATGCTGGTGTACATCATCTTCTTCTTCTTTCTTACTTCTTCTTCTTTCTTCTAACCTTCTCTCTGCTCTCAAGTTCATTCATTTCTTTCTGCAATTGGGCCGCATTCGCGCATTGTACTATCTGATGAATGTGTATCTCGAACTTGGCCAGGATCATAACA